AAAATGAAGTATGCTTTAAGTACACATTGAGTATGCTTTTATCAAATGAAGTATGTTGTAAGTATACATCAACAGTACATGAAGCTTTAAACAAGCATAACTACTTCATTTGTACTTCTAGTACTTAGAAAATACTTCTCAATTGAAGTCTATGTGAAGTATGTACTGCAATTATACTGCCTATTATCCTACAGTTTTACAGAATTAAATACATATGRAGTACAAAATCGAAATTGCAGGTTGTACTTCATTAATTTTTATATGATCTATACGCCTTGTACTTTACTAAAACCACGACAGCACGCTCAAGTCGCAGTGAAATTGCCGCGAGATTCGCAAACTGTTTACATTATATGCAACTCGGTCGTGGCGAGAATCGCGCGATGAATCGCACTGCAAAATTTGCCAGTTTAAACGGGCCTCCCTCAGTTCCGATCCTATGAAAGAACATACAAGAAATATCTCYCATTTATCTGAAACGTTGTTTAAGACAAAAACAAAGCAAACTGCAAAGGAAAAAGTAAGTGTACCCAGTTAGTCTTAATAGCTAACTCTATTTACACTTAATAAAATTTTTGTGTATTACTATTCAAAGGAATATTCAAAGATATGTTGTCCATACCTTGAACTCGTTGATCCCGCCACATCCAATAAACAATTCCCTTACAATCATCATTCACCTCGGTGACTTTTGACAAAAGACGAACTCGCTTCTTGTTGAACTTGAAGTCCAAGACCGACTCACAAACAGCCTTTCTCTTCTTATGGTATCTTCGTAGTATATCGTCGTCGTCAGCTGAATCGTCCAGTTTGTGTTCTTTCTTGGCTTTCTTGTTCGGGGGTTCAGTCATTGTTTTGATCGCGTTTGAAGGATTGCTCTCGTATGATTTAGATAAAAAACGCAATAGAACCGATGATTTCCAACACGATCTCGGTTTTCTCGTGTATAATGCTTTGTTTGGAAGGTTAAATAAATGAAGAACTCTTTTAAATTCGGTGTAAAGTGCAAGAATGACAGGTCTGTTTACCTGGACTGAACACATGGAACAGATCGTGACTCGTGATTACATAACATGATGATCACGTTTTCCCGCGCTTTGGGTAATTCCGCTGACCTATTGTTGACAACCGGAAAATGAAATTATGCTAAAAACATTAGAAGGAGGAGAGGGGGAGGGGGG